TCTGCTTTCTGTCACAGTGACAAACGCCAATACAAGCAACTYAAAAGGAGGAAAGATTTATTTTGGCTCATAGTTTCAGAGGTTTTGGTCACGGTCACACGGCTCCGTTGTCTTGAGGCTCGTGGGGAGGCAGAACTCCAAGGCTGGAGCGAGAGTGAGCAAAGCTGCTCTCTTGCGGTGGACAGGAGTGCGGGGGACCAGCATCCCAGTCCAATACCCTCCTAACAGCACACCATGGGACCTCCTTCTTCCCACTGGGCCCCACCTCCCAGAGAGCCCACCTCTGGACAGTGCCACAGGCTGGGACCAGGCCTTCAGGCTTCCTCAGGTCAAACCTACCAAAGAGCAGGTCAGCTCTCCAGCTCCCACAGAGCCTGCCCCAGTGGGTGGCCCAAAGCCTCTTGCCCCTTCCTTCCCACATCCAGACTAGCAGGAGTCCCCCACTCAGACTCTGGCCTCGGGCTGCCTCGGGGGACCCTTGGGTCASGGTCCTTGTCTGCAGGGGGTGCTGTGGGTCTCCTGCCGTCCGTGTCTTGGTGGGCCCTTGTTTATTCCCGCCGTCGGGCTCCAGGAGGTTGTGTGTCCTGTGCAGTCAGCGGGTCCCAGTGGGGCTCCAGACCTCCSTCAGCTGGGGAGAGGGTTGCACCCAGCTCGCAGCTCACGCCGACCTCTGCCAGCTTGGGCGGGAGGGCTGGGCCTGTCTTTGAGATGGATTTGTATCTTGGGAGGGGCCTCATCTTCTTAAACTTTGTTTTGAGGACACTTCTGTATCCACAGTTAAGTCATAAAAGCTTTATCGATTTCAGTTCTCTGTCACAGATAGATCTCTTGGTTTATAAGAAAAAGAGGAGTTTAATTACTGCCATGAATATTAACTGTTTGGCCCAGCTGAAACCTGATTGGAAGGTCTGAAAGGGTTGCCTTGTGGTGCACCCTGCAATCCTGGCAACTTGGGAGGCTGAGGCCGGAGGGTTGTGAGTTCAAGGCCAGCCTCAGCAACATGGCAAGGCACTAAGCAACTAAGCAAGACCCTGTCTCAAAATAAAAAATAAAAAGGGCTGAGCTTAATCTGGGGTACCATTACCAAAAAAAAAAAAAAAAAAGATTTGAAAGGATTTCTTTCTTTATTTCTTTTTTTAGAGCTTTATGATCCAAACTGGCTTAATTGGAAACTGATATTCAGACACACACACACACACACACACACACACACACACACACACACACATTTTCTTTTTTAAGGCAGCATATTCTTTCAATTTGATCTGACAGGGGACAGACCGGAGTGGTGGGAACATGAGGTTAAGGGAATAATTGCATAAACTCGCCCACTGCTGACCCCTACATGCTTCTTTCCCTTTTGAAAGCCGCCCACCTGCAGCCCTGCCTGGCTAAGTGGACAGGGTAGGTTACACTCCTCAGCAAACTACCTGTCTCACCTTCAGGAGAAATAGGAAGTGTGGGCCTGAAATGATGCTGATGAGAGGAGTGCGCTCTACCCTGAATGGGGGGACTTTTGTGACCCTTTCACAAACCAGGTCCCAGAACTCGGGCACATGAAGATCATTTTCCCACTCACAGAATCTGTAAGAACAGATCCCATTTAGAACTGGCCAGCAGGGGCCAGTGGCCTAGAGTTGTCATGGCAATGGGGACTTGAAAATCTGAGGTTATCTTGCTGTCAGTCAACAGTCCAGAGGTGGAACTGGGCAGGACTCTCTGGAAAGGGCAGGAGAGGGGGACTGTCCCTGTCTCCTCTGAGAGGACCCGCCCTCTCCCTGAGAGTGTCCCCTCTCCCCCTTTCCCATCCATAGTAAACTCACGCCTGTGGGTGGGCTTTGTGCTGCCTCAGTCTCCCAGGAGGCCTGGTCTGGACAGCTCCTCCCTCTGTGGGAAGTCGGGATTCGTGGGAACCCTTTGCGACGCTGACCGACGGATTCTTCCCTCTTCCTTCTTGTTGGACCTTAGTGGGCCGTGGACCAGAAGAACCTGGGCTCTTCCTGTGGGCGTTGCACCTGGAAAGGGATCCTCCRTGTCCTGCTCCCAGGCTGCTCCAGGCTGCTCTGCTTCCTGTCACCTGTGGGCATGTGCCCCAGGAGCAGCGCTGGCTTTGTGGGGGAGGGCCCTGGGTGCCTTAGCAGCCCCTCGACGTTCGTTCTGAGTGTAAGGTGACTCACTGAGGTTTCAGGGACCTGTAGGTCTTCCCTTTCTGTTCTCCTTCGGCCCGGGATGAGCTGCTCAGGAGATGAAGGAGGCGCAATGCCCACCTCTTCTCTGGTCCAGGGGTGTCTTTCCCTGCTGCTATTGCTATTGTGGACTCTGCGTGAGAAGAGGACGGTCCAGAGTAGCACTCTGCCACTCCCCGTGGCTTTGTTCCACAGGATTTCTCTCTTTTTCCTTCTCTTTCCCAGGGATTAAACCCAGTGGTGCTTGCCCACTGAGACACATCCCCAGCCCTTTCTATTTTTTATTTTGAGACAGGTCTCTCGGAGTTGCTTAGGGCTTCTCTAAGTTGCTGAGGCTGGCTTTGAACTGTGATCCTCCTGCCTCAGCCTCCGAGTYGCTGGGATGACAGGCATCACTGCCATGCCTACCTTTCATTCTTTTTGCTTTTTGAATTATACCAAATTCAGCTTATTCTTTTCTGCTCCGGAAGCTCGGTTTTATATTTTCACCACAACATCCCTCTGACTCTCAGGAAAATAAACATGAATAAATCTGTTTTCTTTTCCTTTTTCTGTCCTATCGAGCTTTTACTCTACTGTGGCACTTAGAAACTGTCATTAGTAACTGAGGCAYAGTCAAAGAATTCAATAATACAATACCTGTGGTGAAACAATCAATTAATATAGAATTRCAGTTCAAATCTTCTCTGAAATGAAAAAACAAGGCCCATATAAGTAGCCAGTTTTAATTTAATCACTAGAACCTGCTTCAGGCATATTCAATGAAAAAAAAAAACAATCCTCCAAAGCAAACCTGAAATAGGAGAAATGTGTTGGAGCCCCTTTTCCTGTGGAGAGTGTGCACTGCTTTCTAGAATAAGCAAGTCAGGTGCTCCGGCATACTTTGAATATCGACTTTTGTATTTTATTTATTTTTTTTAAGACTGGATTTAAACTTTTGATATAAAACAGACTTTTAATTTCCCGTTTTTCAAAGATAATATTGAAAGGTCACTCAAGCTTTTAAAGTTTTAAGAAATGACTCATGGTACTACCAGTGTCTTGTGGGCTTCAAAATCAAATTTCCGGTCAGCACTGTGCATTTTGATTTGGCAAACACATACTCTTTTTATGTGTTGTAATGGAACTTATTATGAAAATCTTTTTATGACCATGTTTGACTTGGTAGGTCTTCAGAACACTCTATTTAATAGATAAAAAGAACATTGCATGCTTTAATGAAATATTCTGAATGCTTGTGTCCATTTTAAGACAAACCTTTGGCTAAGATTCATAAAATATGAAGCTTTTCTTCTTATTGCTTTCAGACTTATCTAACAATTTGTATAATCCTGTATATTTGCCATTTACTATGTTTACCATTTCCTAATTGGTAAAGGTGCCCACAGTCAGACAGGTGAATATTCTCAAGTGGGTGACACTGTTCCCCAGAAACAGCACAGGATTAAGAAGTGCCATGTGCCAAAGCAGCTGCCCCTCCTACCCATGGAGATAGTGGAGACTTCTGAGCCCAGAGAGACAGGGCAGAGCTTTTGCCTGTGGGCCCCTGTGGCTGAGCTGTCTGAAGGAGTGTGCATGCCTTGGGGAGATGCAGCCCAACCTCTGGATGGGGCCTGGTTCCAGGGGCCTGTGGATCTGGCCTGGTGGGGCTTCAGCCCTGATGCAGAGGACCCCTGGAAACGCACTTGCTGCAGACTCTCCCAGATTCTCCTGAGGCCCAACCAAGAGCAAAGTGAATTCCAGTCTCATTTCTGACTAGTTTAAAATGCTCAGCTGGGACTCAGAAATGACTTTCAAGAAATATTTACTGAACACCTACTATGTGTTTCAAGGTCATCCAACTCCAGCTTCCTCCAAACTTTGTGTTTTATTTATCAATTCATTTCCCCATACAGAAGTCCGGTATAATCTGTGGCAAATCAAAGAGATTGAAACAGTCATTGCTACCCTTAAACTTCTTAGAAAGATTCATTCATTCTCTTCTTTAAACTCTTCAAATGTTGTATTATATTTTTTTCATAATACTCTTTTTTTTTTTCTATTTTTTAGTCTTAAATCACAATCTGTTTAGGAATGTTGTGTTTCAAGGCTCTCCTCAATCCTGAAGAAACAGTCAACATTTCTGTGGGTTGTGTGTTAATGCTTTAAGAACATCAATTAGGAACAAAAAATGGTGTCCAAGGAAAGACCTCTGCCTTAGAAAATTACAGAAAAATCACCCCAGGAAATGAACAGAAGGCTCTGGCTTGTGCTGACGGGTGCACCAGGCTTTAGAGCCACAGTTTAGGATCTGGGTCCCAAGCCTTTGCGGCGAACATCAGTAGGTCTGGGGATTTTCAAACCAGGGAGAGCTCAGGGAGAGTGTGTCCTGAGAGTGCAAGAACTTCCCTCGGGCCGCGAACTCCAGAGAGTCGTTTTGGAGGGTGCCTGCAGCTGTGTCCAGGCCCAGGTCCGGTCGCCTCTGAAGAGGGGCGGGAAGCCCTCCCGGAAGGGGGTGCGGTTCTGGGGAGCCAGGTCAGCCCCGGACAGGACAAAGGCGCTCGGCCTGKGCTGGGCTCGCCCGCTCCGCTCGCCCGCGGCAGCTCGGCCGGCTCCGGCCCGCACCCGCCTCGGGCCAATCAGCGCCCGGCGCCGGCCCGGCCCGGCCCTGCACCCGGCCGCGTCCCCCGCGTCCCCCGAGTCCCGGGCCGCGCCGGGCCGCGCGAGGAGGGGCCGCGCCGGGCCGCGGGGGATCCTGGAATCGGCGGGAGGTGGGGATTCTGGGAGGAGGCTCCATTTCCTCCTTCCCGCCGGCCTCTCCCCGCCACCCGCACCCCGAGTTTCGACGTGTCGCTTCCCGGGCGCTGGCGCCGCGGCGGCGCGAGGCCGGGGGAGGATGCTGGGCATGTACGTGCCGGACAGGTTCTCCCTGAAGTCCTCCCGCGTGCAGGACGGCATGGGGCTCTACACGGCCCGCCGAGTGAGCAAGGTGGGTGCCGCGGCCCGCGCCCTGCCCCGCCACGTAGGGCCCGCGGCGAGCGGTGCTGCGCGCGCACGGCCCGCCCGGCCTCGGCCCCGCGCCGCCGCCCCGGCCCGCCCGGCCCGCCCGGCCCGCTCCGCTYGGTGCCCGGGCGTGGGGCGCCCTCGCAGCCCGCGCAGGCCCGACCGCGGCCGGGCGCCTCGCCTCCCCGTGCGTGCTGCGGCTTCTGGGGGGCGCCTGCTCATCCGTCAGCCTTTGCTTTTTCTTTGCCTTTTTGAAATTTTCTCTGGTTTGCAGCTTTTCTTGCAGAAATTTTGAGGCGCGAGATGAGGGCACGCGCTGTGCACTGTCCACCCGAGAACGGGCTGGAGGTGTGGGGTGGTGGGAGCAGAGGCCGGGGAAGGGGTCTCCAACCCCACGACGACGCCGGGACGTGTGCCAGGTCCTTTCATGGATCTGGAAGCGCCGCCGCCTGGCGAGGCCCACAGGTAACCAGAGCCCCTCCTGCGGGATACCTGTGCCCGGGCCCACGCTGGGTAGTTACCTCCATTAGTTCACTTCGCTGGCGCCACACTCCTCTGAGATCAGCTTCAATCTCCATTTAAGAGGCGAGAAAACGGAAATTCTTACATTTCTTGCTGAGTTAATGAGTTAAGTCTGAAGCTCAAGTTCTTTCTGGAATATTTGTTGCTTCTTAAGGAACCATGGAGACGTTATGAACCCCTATCCCTGCCACCTTTTCAACCCTTCCTCCCACCCCCTCCTGTTGTTTGCAGATGTTTCCAAAGATGGAGAAATGCAGGTTTGGGCAGGACCCCAGGAGGGTCCCAGGATGTGCCCAGAGACACCAGCGTCCTATCATTGAGTGACCTTTCCCCAGCTCTGTCCTGAGAGCAGGTGACTGGAGAAAGAGTGACCCTTCCCGACACTTCCTACAAGCCCTCCAGGGCAATGCTGGAAAAAAATCCACCGGAATACACTGTTTGGAATGGGAATTTGGGAGAATGCATAAATGTGAAAAACAGAGGAAAATACTTTATTTGAATTAAAGGTGTAGTGAATGAATGTTGTGAATGGCCAGATGTTACAATACAGTTAGGAGCGTCCATAYCCAAGGGCAGCCATGCAGAATGCCTTCTCCCTACAGAGTTGAAGTGCTCTTTTCATTTCATTCTCACAGGATGTGAAAAATTCCCAAATGGAATTTCTTTCTTTCTTTTTTTCTTAAGGTCTCTGGCATAAAAGTAATTACCCCCTAAAATTAAGCATAGTTTTTAAAGACTATTTAATGTTATGAATAGTAAGACACCAAAGTTTCAAAGACTAGACTTATAATTCTTGGGTTTTGTTTTTTAATACTATTTAAAGTTTAGAAACAGCTGGCCAATGCACTATCTTTTGGTAGTTTTATCAATTTCAACCATTTTTTTTTGTACTTGGTTATTTGGAAGTACTTAATTATTTTGGGGCAAGAGGGCAAACAGTTTCTGAAGTGGTCTTTTATTATTGTAGCATAACTGTTGCATTAGTGGAAGCTTATCTTTTCCTGGCTAGTGTAATTTTAATATATAAAACAGAGACTTCTGTGGAGATTGCAGATTGAATACTTATCTATATTTTAAAGAATATGCAGATTTTTGCACTAAATCCAAACAACGATTGACAGAGTTTAGTTGTGATCCTAAGATGTTTTCTCACAAGGTCATAGACTATTCACAGGTGCCAGAAATGACCTTAAAGTCAGCTTCAGCTCTACCTGCTGAAGTCCAACGGCATGCCTGGCCCTGGAGAGCAGATTTCAGCTGAGCCACGCGGCTAGAGTGAATGTCAGCAAGGCACCCTTACCTGTGGTGCTTCGTCTCCCAAGTTTTAAATATTTCCCAAGTTACCCTAGGTCTAGGTGACTATAAATCAAGAGGTCTGGGAAGATAGATTGACAGTGGTGTTAAGCACCTATTTCAAAGTTTCATGTTCTCCATTCTAAACACATTTTGGAATATGCTACTTCAGCTATCTGTGTTGGAAATTCCAGATGTTTTATCACACTTTTATTACATGTATACGGGTATAACACTCCTGTTTTACAGAACCATTACAATTCAAGCCATCTGGTGATTTCAAATGCAGAATTGAATCCAGACTGAGCTTGGGGAATCTTGCTGGAGACTCCACCCATGACCCTCACCAGGTGGATCTGGGATTCCCTTTCCAGAGTGCCAAGATTCTTCTCTAGAGTCATCCCTTTCTGGGCGGGGTCTCGGGAGCTGGTCCTGCAGCTGATCACCTAATTCCCTTGCTCTATAATGGTCCTAATGGAATTTACTTGGCAGTTACCTTTTTTTTTTTTTTTTTTTTTTTTGCAGACCTGTTGCTTCTATTTTTTTTTGATGTAAATTCCATGTAGTGGCAATAAGATAAGGAGTCTATTGGAAACCCCTTGAGTAGAAAAAAGCCTGAATTTATTCACAATCTTACAGGTTGCCATTTGCTAATGATGATGATGACAATGATAATAGTAGCAATAGTAGTAGTAGTAGTAATAATAATAATAATAATAATAATACAATAGGTGCTTTTCACATGCCCGTGGGAGACCTTGTTTTAAGTGTCTGCCCTGTGACTTCATGAGCACACCTTTATGCTTTCATAAAGACGTGATATTTTAGGTTGCAAAGCACTAAATTAATGTTAGCTGCTCAAAATTGGTCTTGCCAGTATATACAGGAACAAAAGTTAAACAAATACCTTGCTCCTGACTTTCCTCATGGCCATTTTCTCTTGCTGGCCCATAGGAGTGAGTGATGGGCAATGCTGTTTGACATTGGACTTGTGTCCCMGCAGGGAAGGGTAATTACAAGGTTCCTTCCAGATGTCAGATCTGGTGATCTTAAGGAAAGGACCCAGTGGGGAAATACTGCGACCAGCTTTCCTTCCCTTTGGATTACTTTAGTCTGCAGGTTTTCATTCACATGTGGCCATGATTCTGCCAGACAGAGGGCTTTGCAGGGAGATGGTTTTACTGTGTGCAGAGGTAGACTGGGACATGGTGGTAAGCAGCTAAAATGGGAGGGTTACCCAGACAGCAAGGGCCTGTGTGAGGTTAAATGAAGGGTTGGAGTACGGAGGGTAGCCTCCTGGGTTGACATCAGAGGTGACAGCRGGAGCTGACCAGTGGTAGCACTCCTGGAGAAGGGAAGTTCAGAGGGCCTGGACTCAGTAGTCCTGGGGACAGTCTGACCAGTGCTGTAATGAGGTCATGTGCGCCTGGGAGAGGAGAGCCGMGGACATTGCAGGAACCAGCCACAGGTGCAGGGCAGATCCCCTGGGCTGCAGGAGGCTTGTCAGGTTGCTGAGCATTTTCATGCACATGCCTTGTGTCCTTCAACTCTTCCATTAGCTTGTAGGAACTGTTAGCAAGCCCACTCCCAGAGGGGACCTGAGGCAGAGGGCCAGGGAGCATGACACTATGTGGTGGCCCTGTGACTTTGATCTCAGGGAGTTGGTTGGATGAGAAGCTGTGCTGCTCCTTGGTCAGAATAGAGCTGAATGGCTTGTAGGCAGAGTGTTGGAAGTGCGGCTGAAGGGATCTAGACCCTGCAGACCCCAGAGTTGCTGAAACATCCCCACTGGGATGTGCCTGCACAGAGGAGCCMGTAGCGCCTGGTACTGCCGTATGCACGCACAGGTTTTGAATTCGAGGTTCTGTTTACTCAGGGCTGGCACATATTGTCTCATTGTGTCATAAAGTGGTCTTAAGTGGTTGATGATTGTCTCCACTTTGCAGGTAAGAAACTTGCTCATTTATCACCTCTTGACCACATGTGGCAGTTTTCCTTAATTTTGATCTTTTAACATTTTTCTCTCCTTTCTAAGCCTTTCTTCATTCAGGTGCTAAAACCTGGTCTGCTCTTCAGAGAGATAGTTATTTTCTTTTACAGAAAATAACTTGCCTACCCTTAACATAGTGGAGCTATTTGGYAGTTAGATTGGGATTTTTAAAAGGAAATAAAAAAATAAAATAAAGCTGAAGCAAAAGGGAAGTAATTTATAAATGAAATAAAACGTGTCTGCACTCGATTTCTGGTCCCCTAATTGCAGTAAAGGCATGAAGAGATTGTAAGGCCCAGRTCTCACAGGGTGCACTCCGGCCTGTTGAGTTGGCCCCCAGGGCCACTTCTCCCCACACTGCTCAGTACCTTTGCCTGGGAGCTCCTGATGGCACCCAGCATCCAGTGCTGCAAGGCCATCGTCATGGCTCTCGGCCCTCTTCACTCATGAATCCACGTTCCAGTTTGAACTCTCCTGATGCCCTAGATCTTGTCCACAGCTGTTTTTCAGGACAAAGGCTATTGACAGTCCTGGGGTATGAGTTTCCTCTGACTGCTGCGGCAAATCATCACAGACTTTGTGGCTTAAAACAACACAATTTATTATCTTACGCATCTGGAGCCAAACATCTAAACAGGGTGGGGTCACGGGGTCCTGGGAGACTCTGAGGGAGGCTCCACTCCCTGCTCTTGGTGGTTGGTCAGGGTGCCACGTTCCCGGGCTCCAGGCCCCACACCGTTCCTGGACTCTGCCCTCCCTGTGAGTGAGTGTGCTCAGGTGATGCAGAATAACTCCCCATGTCGAGATCCTTAGTGGCAGTCAGAGGGCAAGGTGATTCTGCAGGTCAGGGTGTGGATTTCCTGCCCCTCACGGTTTCAAGTCTGATTCCTTCCGGCCCAGATTACCTGGGGCACTGTGATGCCTTCCCGGGTGGGTGTGTCTGCCAGGTTGGCCTCCCTGCAGGGAGACCTCAGTGGGTGGTTCCATAAGGCGAGGAGAAGGTGTGCCTAAGGGCAGCAGAGTAGACAGGAATGGATTTGGATGGGGTGTCCAACAGCACTGCGCCACAGACCCTCGAGGTTTTGCAGGTGAGACGGCTGCAGCCCGAGGTCTGCAAATCCTGTGGCATCCACTGCCCCTGCGCTCCTCGTCACCGTCACCCTTGGTGCCAACTTTCTGTCTCACTAACAGGCAGACCTTGGTGTTTTCACGAGGTAAAACCTCAAGTAAGAAGTACCTGGAGTAAAGGCTGGATGCTCAGTTTGTGAAAATATAATGAGGCTAAAGAAAAAAAGTTGAACTTCAGGTTAGAAAAATGAGGGAAAGAAAAATGTGAAAAGAAAAGTGAGTGAAAGCAGGCAGAGGAAATGCCACCAGATACAAGCCACAGACAGCCCGGGAAGGCAGGTTGTGCCTCAGGTGTCTTGATCAGGTGTCTTAGAGTTTGGATGTGAGGTGTCCCCCAAAAGCTCACGTGTGAGGCAGTGTGAGAGGGTTCAGAGGAGAAATGATGGGTTCCAAGAGTCCTAACCCAGCCAGTGAGCTAATCACCTGGTAGTAGGTACTGAGGKGGGGTGTGGCTGGAGGAGGTGGGGATTGGGGTGTGGCTTGGGGGTATCTATTTGTATCTGGTGAGTGCCTCTCTGTCTGCTTCCTGACCACCTGTGAGCTGCTTCCCTCCACCACACTTCTGAGACCTGAGSAGTGGAGCCAGGTTCTTATGGACTGAGACCTCTGAAACCATAAGCCTGCAAATAAACTTTTCCTCCCTTAAAATTGTTCTTGTTGGGTCTTTTAGTTACAGCAGCAAAAACGCTGAYTACAACAAGGTCAGAGGTGACTCTCTTAAGGAAACAGTGGCTTTGTCCTGGGGCCCACATTCTGGCCCAAATTTGGATGTTGGTTTACACTTCCTGGAGACATCGTAGAGGAGGAGTGATTGCCATCGGCCTGCAGGAATCCCCTCGTCCTGTTCCCATGGTGACTCAGTGGCCTGTGTTTCCTGCTTTTAACATGGATGGCAAATGGACACTAGTTTCTGAAGCTGGTGTTTTCTCACTTTCTTTCTCTGACGTTCCTATGAAGTTAGGGACTTGCCAGTGTGTTTCAGTCACACTCTTGTCTCCTTGATTGGCAAGTTGTTCCAAACGTGGTCTGTGGGCTCTTTCTAACCACTACCTCAGGAGCTGGAAGGGATCTTAGAGCCAACCAGGCCAAGCCCCTGCTTATGGATGAGGAAACTCTCAGACTGCTAGTGACATTGTAAAGCGGCACTGCCTCTTGACAGTGGAGCAAGGACTAGCACCAGCCACCCCAAGCCCTGTTAGTGCCTTCTCTGTGACTYGAGAGGTGCCTGCAGGAACCTTGCTCACAAGCCAGGGAGGGAGTGTCCCACAGTGTGGCAGTCAGACACTGCTGCTTGTCAAAGTCATGTCGAGGTCAGTGGGCAGCCAGGTGAGTGGATTAATTACCCTTAGTTCTGAGTAGCTGCAGAGAGGCACCCTGCAGTCTGGCACTGGGGGGCCTGGCCCAGGCCTCGGCCTCCTGCAGGCTGGTTTGTGCAGGTGGACTTTGTCTTGAGTCACGTTGTGCTGCAGGTGTGCAGTTCTGGAAAGTTGGAATTCGTGGCCAACATAGGAATGTAGTGATTCCAGACACGAGTCTGAGTCTTCGACTCCTCCGGGAACGGTGCAGGCAGTGGGCACCTTTGGGCCACACTGTGCCACCCTGACTTTGGTTGGAGTGAAGAGCTCTCGATAGGCACACCCTTTCCCACTCACCTGGYTGTGTTCCAGTGTGTGGTGCTTGCGCTGGGATCCGCACCCGCTACCTTCCTGTGGCAGCTTCGAGGTACCTGAGTGAGGGCTGACCCTGGAGGCCATCAGAAGCCAGGAACTTAGAAGCTTTCTCACAAAGGAACCCYACACCGAAGGTGAGCCCTGAGACACAGGCCTGGCTGGATGGGTGGAACGTGGCCGGCCGGGGTCTTCCTGCTGGGGGTAAGAGCTTGGGCAGTGTGGCCTTGGGTGCATCCAGGGATGATGGAGGAGGCTGGAGGCTGGACGCTCAGAGTGGCTGGAAGGGGGATTTTCCCCATCATGAAGGGTGACCCCATACCACAGTCTGGGGTGGACCTCTCCTGARTCCCCAGGAGAGCCTTGACTTTGAGGGCTATCGGCAGTTCATTTGATTCAACTGACAGAAAAAATAGTCACAAGCATGTGGCCAAGTGCCCCATTCTCCTCTCCTGAATGTCACCAGCGAGGCCAATGAGGCTCGTGCTTATGTTAGTCTCTGTGGAAGTGCAGGATCGTGATCTTGATCCTAAGAAAGTGCTGTCATTTTACCAGCCCAGCGGGCATAGTCAGAGTGCGTGGGCAGCGGTGCCCAGYCTCAGGCAGAGGCCTCTGTGAGCGCGGGCTTTGTGGGTGTGGGAGCCCCATCTCCAGGTCCCATCTTCAGGTGAGACATGGCTACTTCTAAACCCTTGGGGCCATGTGTCTGTCCCAGAGGTGATGTGAGGCCCTGTTAGCCTGAACTGCAGTGAGGACAGGAGGCCCCTGCCCTCTAAATTCCCTTCAGTATCCTGAAAAAAGTAGCCAGCGGTGTCCGCTTCTGGGATGTCTGTTTGGGTTCCTTACAAGAATCGCAGTTGTGGTTGAAAACTCCCCCGGTATTTCCAGGTCCTGGGGATCGTGGTGCTCCTCCCGTCTGACTCCGGGCTCTCTTTCCTTGGGGCTGGTTTGTTGTTTCTTGATTTCTTTAAGCTTTGCAATGTGCCCTTGCTCATCCCAGGGTATGGGTTTTCTGTTGCTCTTTGGGTCATTCATGTTCCTTGAAGCTCTGTGCTGGTGGCTTTTCCCCAGGAGCATGTGGCAGAGGTCCCCCGAGCCTGGGGAAGTGCTCGGTTGGGAGACTGAGGCAGACAAGAGGCTCCGTCTCTTCCCACCCACTCCTTCTGTCTCCACAGTCTCTGCTTGCTCCCTGGAGACAATCAGTGTCACCTGTCCATGGGAGTAGGCCTACTTGGGGGTCTCACCAGGGTGCGTGGCAGAGGGTGGCTTCCGCACCCCACTGTCTGGTCTGGACCCCAAAGCCCAGCGATCTCTGTTTGAAACACTTCCTGTGATGCTCCTGCCGTGGGTTTGCACACAGCCACACTTTGAGAAACCCGGCTGTAACAAGTGCCCGTGTGGCAGTTTGAAGATTGGCAGGCGAAGCTGAACTTTATTTATGAACAGTGTCCTCTGAGAAAGGCAAGCCTGCTTCTTTCTTGTGCAAAGTAGGGTTGAATTTATGGCTTTTATGGAAACCAGGTGGGTTTCTGCCTGGTGGGCCTGTCTCTCACTCAAGTGGCAAACTGGGAGCTTCTGGTTTCAGGCCCACTTGCCCCGGGCTGTGGACAGCCGGCCTGGAGCGGCTCCGCCTCCTCAAATCCGAGTTTGGCAGTTTAACCCTTTTATGTTGGCACCTGTGTGTGGAGTCTGACTTCTAGGCTAACCAGGAGATTAAGTTGGGCTTTGCATATGTAAATACTTCATGTTTTGTAAATTAGTTAATATTTTAAAATGTCTGAATGCTAGAGTAAAGACTTGAGGAAGAAGACTTCCAGATGATGGAAGGGGGTTGATTTTTGTAACTTGATGATTGAGCTGATCCTTTTCTGTGTGCCTGTTGCTCCTCAGGGTGAGAAGTTTGGGCCCTTTGCTGGGGAGAAGAGGATGCCAGAAGACCTGGATGAGAACATGGACTGCAGGCTGATGTGGGAGGTGCGTAGCAGGGCCCTCTGTGAACCTCGAAATGTGATTATAAGTCCACACGAGTGGGTGCTGGTTTTCACTTGAGTATCTAAGTGTATATGCATCTTAGTTTTGACATTTAGCATTTAATAAAATTAGACTGCTGAGATATTGGACTCCTGGAGCTCTGGAATGGATAGCTCGTCACTGAAGCAGCCTGTGGGGATGTGTGCAAGGGCCTGTCGCCAGGGAGTTTCCCTCTGCTTTGGCAGGCCAGCTGCGTCTGTGGCTGCTCCTTTCTGGGTATTAGAAGGGCCTGAGGAGATGAGCGGAGAGGCAAAGGGGCAGAGACAGCTGCAACAAAAATTCGGAAAACTGGGCCCCAAGAATTATATCTGATGGTTTTTATGAGGAGACCACAGGAGAGGGGATGTGTAGGTGGGAATGTGAGAGGCGGGACCTGGAGTGGAGATCTCCACGTGGAAAGGCTCTCGGGCTGTGGCGTCTGTGCCTGGTCTCCGGAGCAGACCAGGAGCAACCAGGAGGTGTTTTATGTGTGGCATGCAAAATGGTGTCTCCGCAGCTATTGGGTGGCCAGTCTGCAGTCCTGCAGGCAGAGAGGAGTGGAGGCTGCCGTCTTCAGGCAGAAGTGCCTTTGGAAGCCATCGGTTTGGTCTCAAGCCTGGCTGCTTGGCCCAGAGACACACCCATTGTGGAGGCTGTCTTCCTCTCAGTCCACCCACTGCGGCGGTCACTCACACCCTGAAGTCCCTGTGCAGCAAAGGCTGGATTTGCATTAGCTTAGCTGTAGCTTTAGCAGAGTCAACACACAAATCATGAGAGTGTGTGGTCTCTAAGCAAAATACACTTATAACCATCACCTGTGTTGCTGCCCAGGGTCAGGTGGGGTGCCCAGAGGATTCTGAGAAGGTTCTGTAGTGCGAGTGATGGAGATGGGAATTACTAACACTCTCTACCCTGTAATTTAAGTGGGAAATGTTGTAGATACTGCTTTAATTTAGCATGCTGTTTTAATAGTTTACTTTTACAAATCTAAAAATACTTTTAATGGCTTTCACTGTTCTTCTGTAAGGTCTTAATTTTCTCAGCAGTTAATTCTCTTGCCCTGAAGGTTTTCAGAAGTCAAATGTTTATGTGACAAAAGATAACCGAACAAGTCTCAAATGATGAAAATGGCGATATTTAACAGGTCGTTGGTGGCTTTTGGTATCTGCTTTAGGTCTGAAAATCCTGGTGTGGCAGGTTCCTGGTTTGCACAGCTGGTGCCGAGGCGGAGCTCATCAGGTAATGAGGTGACCTTTATTTGGAAAGGGAAGCTTGCAGATGGGAGACTCCAGGCCTCTGCATGGCTGGTGCTGGTGTGGCAGTGGCTGGCAGCTTGGCACCTGTGTCTGTGGTTCCTCACCATCTCTGCCTGAGGACTGTGTTTTCACATTGGTTTTACCGGTTGGTTTGATCATGTTTGTGTTCAGGGATGTTAAATTCGAGGAACGACCTTTCCGTTGTATTTACTGCGTGCTGACACTGTGAGCGAGTGCTGTGTACTTCTTGCACAGTCTGGAAGGCTGGATGGGCACCGGCTGCCCCTCCAAGCCTACTCCCTGCTCTCAGGAGTGCCACAGTGCTGGCCCCTTGTTCAGGTGCCCTCGGGCCCTCCTGCAGCTCCTCCTTGGGCTGGCCTTCAGGTCCTTGCTGGCCCCTTGCACAGGTCCCACCCCTTGCCCTCCTGCCGCTCCTSCCTGGGGGGCATCAGCCACCCTCTGCAGCAGCAGCTGTCCTGCAGGGGGGATGGAGACTGCTCTGGTGCTGTGTTCTCTGTGGGAATGTCCAAAGCACTTGCCACCTTTGACAGCTGGGTTTAGTCCGGTCCCTTAGGACCTGCTACTTCTGACAAGCCTGTGAGGACATGGCTCACCACAGTGCAGCTCCAGGTGGGAGGTCAAGCCCCCAGTGCTGTGGCTGTGGATGACAGAGGAGGAGTGGCAACATGTCTGGAGACCCTGTTTCGGGACAGTGCACGGCGTTGCCCCTTCTCCATCATCCTCGCACTTCGCTTGTGGTGCCAGTGGTCTTGGTGGACACGGCCAGGAGCCCCAGTGGTCTTGGTGGACACGGTCGGGGCCTCCCTCAGCGCTTCTCTGATGCGGGCTCCCTTCCTTCCCTGAGAGGCCAGTTCTTACCAAAGAAGCACCAGGTGGGAGTGGCCTCCTATGGTGAGCCCTGGGGCCATGGCCAGTATCCTGGTGTCACATCATGGGAGCACTGGGGTGTGTGCCAGTGGCTGCCCCCCTCGCCAGTGCAGCTTGGGGCACGTTGGACCCGCGACAGTTGCTCAGTCTTCTGTCCTGGCCACCAGGATCAGAGCTTGGCGTCTTGGGACTCAGTCTTGTCTACCCCGAGCACTTCTTGGTAGCCTCCCCTCTTGACTTTTTATTTAGCATCAAGTGCGTTAGCAGAGGAGTTCTGGGTTCTCAGCCAGTAGGCCAGCAGTGAAGCTGGAGGTTGGGAGCCAGCACGTGGCCGTCCTGCTGCCACCCATGTCACCAGCACAGCGTGGATGTGCCGGTGCTCTGCTGTGCTCCCAGCTCCCTTCCACCTGAACTTTGCCAGGCGCTTGGGCCTTAAGGTACATTTCTGTCACCCTCTACTTGCTCACACTCACACGCAGGACCAAACTCCAGCCGTGTGCCGTTGCCCAAACTCTCCCTAGTACTTTGRTTTAAATCTCCAAGTCTTTCACCCTCCACAGAATTTTCCTGGATATTCCAGCCCCAGTTTCAGTCACTGGCATGGGCCTCCAAGTCGTGGCCTGGAGGGTGCCGGGGGCCTGCGTGTCTTCCTGCCCCTATTCCGCTYGTCTCTCGGGTGTTCTGAAGTGGGGGCTGGGCGTCCTGCTCTGATGCGGGGCTCCCCTTCCCTCCCAGCGTGGTGCTCTGGCACTTCCTGAAGAGGGGTGGGCAGATGCCAGCCTGGGAGCTCTCCAGACGACATGGACTTTCCACTGGAGTCCCTGCAATTCCTCTGAGATCACGAAGGTCCCAGCCGGGTCCCCCTCTCTCCCTCCCACTCACAGTGGGTCCTCTTGCCTCAGTCCTTAAAGGGCTCAGCAGATGCTGGTGGGTGCTTAGTGTGTGGCTGGCGCCCACAGAGCACTTGCCATGTCCRAGGGAGCTGGTGGCCCCTCCGTAGGCACAGTTCTTACTGGTTAGGCAGCAAAGGACTCATTGCAGATCACAGAAAACCACATGAAAACTGAAGGTTCAGGTAAAATGTCCACATTCTGGGTGGATTTTATAGGGAAAACATCTCTCACTTAGATTCAGGCTGATTCCTCGTATTACGTCATGTACAACTTATGTAGATGTTTCTGAAACACCAGGAGCTCCAGGAGAATTCTCATAACAGCTTAGTTTTGCTGTTCCTGAGGCCATGCTCTTGTACGGGTTCCAGAGGAGCACAGTGGGGGACGCGAGGCTGTGGGAGCACCAGCTTTTCCTGCGTGAGCCTGACACAGGCATTTGTAAGGTTCACATTTGCTAGTTTTCCTAAGTCTAACCCCTGGGGACTCAGGGAGGAAAACCACTTTTTAAGTCTGAGGCAGTGGAATCATCAGGGCCACCAGTCTCCATGGTCTGACAGCTGCATGTTATAAAGAGTAGCCTGTCAAATGGTCTCAGTTTCATTTGTTTCGGTTAGCAGAAAAGAATTTGTACTTGTGGATGAATAATGTGTTTTCAAAACCTAACTATCAAATACCTAATTATGAGATTCCCAGGTGTTGTGATGTAAATTATCAGTCTCCTGCAGTTACAGTAGGTTATTATTTCAGAAGGCTTCCACATGCCAGGTGAGCGGGCCCCTGTCTGTAGCTGATGAGTTTTGGAATCCCTTGGTGTCAATTAAAATGCACTCAGCTGGTTCCTGCAAGTCCTTCCCAGCCCTGGTCCCTGCTGCACTTTCCCACTGGTGACAGTCCCTGATTAGTGACCCTCTCTCTCAGTGGCTCATCCCATGAAGAACAGATAGGACACAGATGGAGAGGAAAGCACCCACTTTTCATGGYTATACAAAGACTCTTAATACATGGTTCCAGAAAAGCTGGGCTGGAGTTTGTGACAGACCCAGGTCAGCGTGTGGACCTCTCTGCTTCTTCAATCTTGGTCTCTCTGCCACCTGTGRTGGTCCCCAGAGTGGGTTTTGAGTATGTCAACCTGTCTGCATGGGGAATTACGGCAGAGTGCCTGGATCAGAGGGTGGCAGGGAGCCTGGAGAGAGGCCACCAGGCAGCACGGACCTGCTCCCAGGCTAGGGCTGTGTCCCAGGGGCTGATGAATAGTGACCACAAGAAGTGCCTGGCCCAGGGACTGTCAGGGTCTCAGCACCAAGCTGAAGGAGGAGCCATGAAGAGGGACTGAGGGACATTTATTCTAGTTTATTCCTTCCATGGGATGAAGCAAGGCAGCATGAAGGGGCAGGTGGTCACTGGGAACTCCTAGTCAGAGTCCTTTTCTTATTCTTAACAAATGATGAGCTTGTTTGAAATTCCTCATTAAACAAACAAAGACAGAGCCCAACCCAACCCAGCAAACAGAACCCAGGGTGGGAAGCAGCAGCAGGAGGAGGAAGGCTGAATTGAGAATCCACAGGGTTTTTTTTTTCCCTGGGGTCCTAGTCAGCCTTTCACTGAGTCTGAGAGGCTGGAYGTCTGAGCTCAGCCTGGGGGAAGGGTCAGCCCTGGAGGGAGGAGAAACAGGACAGCTGTGGAGGTCTTGTAGGGCTGCACCAAGGACCTAGGCACATTGCTGGCTCCTCCTCAAGGCGTTTGTAGAATTACCTGGCAGAGGCTGGGAGTTCAAGCCCTGCTCTTCTGAGGGGCAGATGTTCTGCGCTCCCCCCCCCCCTCTTTTAGTACTGGGGATTGAACCCTGGAGCACTCTCTGAACCCTCTGCGACTGAGCCACATCACCAGCCCTATGTTTTATATTTTATTTAGAGACAGGATCTTACTG